TTGTTATTTGTTTGAATTTCCTATCTTGTAAGTATACTATTTAAATTTTTTATAATACTCTCCAATAACAGTGGGTGGACTAGCTCATGAAATCCAAGGATTTTTACAAGAAAATCACTGTTGTGCGAATGCAGCTCATGTTGTGTCATCCAGTGCCTTACGGCAGTAAATTAATGTCAAGTGATATCACAACGTTTAGAAATACCACCTTTTTTAGAGAAGCGGAAATTTCCGAAAAAAGTGGAAATTGGGCGTACTAGGTGAACTTAAGTTATAAATTTAAAAAAAGCATGCTCATGCAAAAAGACGAATGAATAAAGCGGCAAAAGTAGAACTTCGTCTGAAAATAATCGTTTGGTAAATTTTCCGGATACATATCCTTCAATATTAAACACAGTGTAGCGGATGGCTGTTACTGAACAGTCCAAAGTTCGACTATGCATTCCAACATGGTTTCACGAGAATCGCTAGTTGTTTCTTCTGTTTATAAAATGTCGGAGCTACGGTGGACGAAGGCCCACTAGATTCTCGCTTGATCACGTGGATTGGAAGGTCACGGGAATAAGACATTTCAGGAGCTCACGTACGGAAAGGCCGGTCAGTGACTGATAAATTAAGATGGAATTGCCAAGTGCAATCGTCAAAGTATCATTTTGTGTCACATTTCTTTGTCAGTATTTCGGGATTTCGATTACGAGATTCAGATCGTTCTTGAAATGGTGATCAACACAGAACGATTTTCAGTGGTTTCAGTCGATGCTACATAAATAAGTATTATGTTCTGCGTGTTTATAAAAACCGCCAAAATACGATATTTCTTAAATGCAGTTACCTAACAGCATTTACCTAACAGATGGATTGGTGCGTGTCCACAACAACGCCCTTCCTTGGGCTGCAGCCTTACTGTAAGGCGAAAACGTTCGTGCAAACAAGAGCATGATCTTGTAGGCAGATAGTATTACCGGCAAAGACAAGGGAGACTGGAATTGTCATTTCTGGCTTATAATCCGTCGCTAGCCAGTCCTACCCAGACCCGAGTGGCGTCCCACCCGAGCT